GCCCCCTTCCACCTCACCCCCTGCATTCAGCTTCCTAGGATGCTTGACTGTCTCTCCGTTGACTCCTCCCCCCTCCTCCTTATTCCCTCAGGTTTATCCCTATTGTCTCGGCCCCTGAGAAGTTCCAAGGTCCTGACCTCAGCACCTTTGCTCTGCTACAGCCAACCCAGGGTCCCATCATCAACTCTCTTTACGGCAAAGGGTAGGATCACTTTCTTTTCCTCCTGATTTATACACATCATGATAATACACGTTATTTCCCATTACACTTAGGATCTTCCTTGTTGATTCATAGGAGCTTAGGTTAGAACTTTAAAAAGAACAGACTATTAGAATTTCCTTTCTTTTAATTTTCTTGTATCGAAGTCGAAATTTTTCTTATAGCCTGTAATTTCCTCTAAATAATGAGGAGAGAGTCAGGACACACAACAAAGAAAGAAAAAAATTACAAAGATGAAAATGTCAAGATCTTATTTCACTACATTTGAGATTTCATAAGTTTTTCTGTTCCCCCTACACTTTGGAGTTAGGAAGAAGGTAGTGGTGGTAGAGGATAGTTTTATGGGTTTAGCCAGATGTTAAGGACATCTGGTGACTGGATGTTTGTTTTTGAAGCATTTCTGAATGTTATGCTCAGAGGATGGGAACTGGGGGTTGAACGGTGGCTGCTCTGACCAGTCTAATAAACAGTATTTGCTTTGAGAGCAGAGATTTAGGGGCAGGAGTAAGGAGAGGTGGCTTGGGCTTGGCAGAAGGAAAGTTCTTCCTCCATGCGCCTCTGTTTATTTATTTGAAGGTGAGAGTCTGCCTGATATAACAACCATACTGAGTCTAGCTGTAATTCACAGAGTGCTTAATATAAGACAGGCACTGTGCTAGACCCTTTGTTTATGTTTTCTTATTTACATCTAGTTCTCGTATGCTAATCTGTGATGCTCTGTAAGGATGTCTTCTAACGCTTCTAGAATTTATATCATTCTTTTTCTCCATCATCTGGATAAATGTCATTCTTTAGACTTAAACATACGGTTCTCACATTTAGGAATTTTACTACTACCAATCCTAGTATAATATTGATGGGTATCCTTAAATTATCCACATCCATCAATCCAATTTTCTTGGAGAAGGTGTCAGGTTCACAGTATTACTTGTGACAGTGAAAGTCTTTATGTGAAATGAACTTCCCCACCCCAAAGTCAAACCTTGGGACCTTTGTTTCATAAACTCTAGGCTGCAATTGGGTGAATCAATTGAAGAAAAGCCTAGATTTTCTGGAGGAATATCTCTTGAACTTGAGCTTTTTGGAGGAATATCTCTTGGACTTGAGTCTTCTTTCTTTTTTTAATTAAAATAAAAAACATTTTTTTGGCTGCATTGGGTCTTTGTTTTGGCACATGGGATCTTTTTTTGTTGTTGTTGCAGCACGCGGGTTCTTTGTTGCAGCGTGAGGGCTTCTCTCTAGTTGTCGCGTGCAGTTTTCTCTCTCTAGTTGTGGTGCGTGGGCTCCAGAGCACGTGGGCTCTGTAGTTTGCGGCACGTGCGCTCTCTAGTTGAGGCGTGCAGCCTCAGTAATTGTGGCACTCGGGCTTAGTTGCCCCGTGGCATGTGGGATCTTAGTTCCCCGACCAGGGGTTGAACCCACGTCCCCTGCATTGGAAGGCAGATTCTTCACCACTGGACCACCAGGGAAGTTCCTTGAGTCTTCTTTCCATCAGAGGCAGCCTGAGAAAATAGATGGCATTTGATGCTCAAATTCATGCTTCAGAAAAGGAAAGGCTGCTATAGGAATATACTCAGTGAGTGGATTTGAAGGCTTAAAGAAGACTGCGAACAAAATTCTACATCTTCCCAAACACTACGGCTAACAGTTTGTGACTGTTGTCCCAGTGATTTAAGTTGTCTCCTGGTGCGAGATTTTCTAGAGTTGGACAGAGGTTGTCAATGGCTGTAAGGAGAAGCTTCTGAGCTAAATAGTAAACAAGCAAAAATGGACAATGTATGTTGAATGAAACAAAAAATCCTGAGAATCCTTCAAGGAAGAGAGCAGTGTTTTGACTATGAGTAGAAAGAAAAAGATCAGGAATTCAGGAGGTGAGCAAAGATGCTCTTCATGTGGGAGCCAGAGACTGGTGGGCTAACTGGGGTCCAGAAGAATCTGGGAGATGCAGACCCAGTTAGAGCCCTGGTCAGTGGTCCAGAGCTGGCCTTCCATATACTATCCCCGATCCTGATTGTAGCAGTGGAGCAAACCTGGAAGGACTCAGTGGAGAATCTGCCGCCATCAGTGGTAAAGGTCTGGGGAACCGGTGGTACAAATGAGCAAGCCTGCACCCTGAAGGCTGTCCTGACCTATAGGTTTCAAGAGGATCTGTCCATTATTTGAAGACTAGAGACTTAGCACAACTTAGAGGATTTGCGAGGGACTTGACTGCTGCATTGGAGCAGGCAGGCTTCGTGTGCTCAGATGGGCACCAGCAGGCCCCGGCATCTCGTTTCCTTAAGTTGGTGGGAAGGATTTGATCTGTCAGGAAGGTCCTCGGCTTCAGAGAGTGAGGGGGGATACATAGTGAGATGAGTAGGAACAAGGTATATAGTGGAAGGAAGAATGTATTCTGGCAGTTTCTCCAAACAATGATATACTCACTTCCTCTGCTTTTAGGAAAGGAAGCTGATTTTAAGCAAACAAACAAACAAAACTAGTGTAGGGAGATTTGAAAAAGTTTATAAAGCAACTCTGAAGACCAAAGAGACCCTAAATAATTCACATCTTACTTCTCTTTTTCTATGACTTTTGCTTTCAGGGTAGAGCAGTCAAAGATATCAAGATGGGACTGTAAACCAGGACCCCTCCCTGTCACATCCTATAAAGGAGAAAGCTCTTTAAAAATTTGGAAATCTTTAAAATAAAAAGAATAGTTTGTGAAGGGATCCTTACAATAAACAAAGAAATAGAATGGTTACCTTCTATGATATCAAATTTCATGTACAGTTTAGGTATCCTTACCGGGTAAGATCAACCAAATACTTTTAACTCTATAAAGTTTCCATTATTTCATTTAGCCAGAGAAATCTTCCAGCTAATACGTTACTAAGTTTGGAAAAATATTAACTAGCCCTTTCCACATCTATCAAGTTCAGAGACAATATACTTCATGTACCAAACTGCATAAAGTTTAGTCCTAGAAATGTGGATTATATATATATATATATATTTTTTTTTTTTTTTTAATATAAATTTATTTATTTATTTATTTGGGGCTGAGTTTGGTCTTCGTTGCTGCGCGCGGGCTTTCACTAGTTGCAGTGATGGGAGGCTATTCTTCGTTGCGGTGTGCGGGTTCCTCACTGCGGTGGCTTCTCTTGTTGCAGAGCACAGGCTCTAGGCGCGCGGGTTTCAGTAGTTGTGGCACGCGGGCTCAGTTGTTGTGGTTCACGGGCTCTAGAGCGCAGGCTCAGTAGTTGTGGCGCATGGGCTTAGTGGCTCCACGGCATGTGGGAGCTTCCCGGGTCAGGGCTCGAATCCGTGCCCCCTGCATTGGCAGGCGGATTCTTAACCACTGCGCCACCAGGGAAGCCCAATATATTCTTAATATTTATTAACTTTTTTCTTTGTCTATCGGCTGACTTATTTTAGTCCCATGGGCGTGCACTTATCATAGGCTCAATTCATATATTCAGTTGACTCTAGCAACTTTCTGTTCATGAAGATCAGTTAAGATGAAAGGCATCAAAATAAGGTAGACTTGAGCCAGCAAAGCATCTGCTTAATATAGCCTCTCTTCATATTACTTATTTCTGGTGCTGGGCATCAAAGAAAAAAATGAAAAGTCGGCACTGTTCTCTTAAAAATACGTCAAGGGCCCCCAACTCTTTAACAACACAGGAAATGTCAAATATTATATGGATATAAATAACTCAGTAAAACAGGGTTACAGGAACATCTGGCTTTGCACAGTTCCATGCACTCAGCTGGTGCAGAGATATTTCAGTAATACTATCCAGTCCCTGGGCTGTGCGTGCTTGGGACACAGAAGGGGATTTGAGTGTCGAGTGAAAAATGTGCTTGTAAAAGGGTCTGAATTGTTATCTGTCTAATCCGTCCTAATCTGTTCAGTCATTTGCTCTGGGGGCTCCTAAGAGGGAATACTGACCCCCTCTGGAAGCTACTTTCTTAGACAGACACCCCGAGAGCCCAGGGTGAAGGGTGGAGGGTGGGAGGTTAACGACCCTTGAGACGCACGCTGCCCCAGTGATAACTGGAGAGATCATTTTAAAAGGGACATCTCAATCTTCGGGGCGAATTGCAGCTTTACTTCAGCTCTAACGTTGTGGAGACCGTCGGGAGGGAACGCTGGTGACGGGTCTCCTTTGTTCTTGCCAGTTTTGCCTCTCACCCCACTGGGCTCTGCTCTGTGGTTTCCCTCCTCTCTATGCTATTTCGGGGTCCCCACTGAAGGCTTCCCTGGGATTCGGATGGGCTAGCATCTGGGGAAGGTAGTCTGCACAATCTAAACCATTTGGTGTCCATTTCATTATGCACACGAAAAAAGAAAGTGAAACCCTCAAAACAGATATACATAAAACCTTCACACAAGGCACCTAAGGTGTATGGTTTTCCTCCCAATTACCAAGTTCATCATTATTAAGAGTAATAAAGGGCAATACCATCCGCCTCACAGGAGGGCAAAAGACAAATATAGAAATGACAGGTATATCTTGGATCCTTTCGGGTTCATTCCCAAGTAACTCTTTTACTTATGTATTCTGCAAATATTGAGTAACTACCATGTACCAAGCTTGGTGGTAGGTAAAGACTCAAGGCCCTTCCTTGCCTTCGAGGAACTTACGGTCTGGTGGAGGAGATGACACTTGGACACTAACAGCTTAAATCCAATTCAATGCAATCCAGTCCAACCTGACCCAATCCAGTCCAACCTGACCCAATCCAGTCCAACCTGACCCAATCCAGTCCAACCTGATCCAATCCAGTCCAACCTGACCCAATCCAGTCCAACCGGACCCAATCCAGTCCAACCTGATCCAATCCAGTCCAACCTGACCCAAGCCAGTCCAACCTGACCCAATCCAGTCCAACCGGACCCAATCCAGTCCAACCTGATCCAATCCAGTCCAACCTGACCCAAGCCAGTCCAACCTGACCCAATCCAGTCCAACCGGACCCAATCCAGTCCAACCTGATCCAATCCAGTCCAACCTGACCCAAGCCAGTCCAACCTGACCCAATCCAGTCCAACCGGACCCAATCCAGTCCAACCTGATCCAATCCAGTCCAACCTGACCCAAGCCAGTCCAACCTGACCCAATCCAGTCCAACCGGACCCAATCCAGTCCAACCTGATCCAATCCAGTCCAACCTGACCCAAGCCAGTCCAACCTGACCCAATCCAGTCCAACCGGACCCAATCCAGTCCAACCTGATCCAATCCAGTCCAACCTGACCCAAGCCAGTCCAACCTGACCCAATCCAGTCCAACCGGACCCAATCCAGTCCAACCTGATCCAATCCAGTCCAACCTGACCCAAGCCAGTCCAACCTGACCCAATCCAGTCCAACCGGACCCAATCCAGTCCAACCTGATCCAATCCAGTCCAACCTGACCCAAGCCAGTCCAACCTGACCCAATCCAGTCCAACCGGACCCAATCCAGTCCAACCTGATCCAATCCAGTCCAACCTGACCCAAGCCAGTCCAACCTGACCCAATCCAGTCCAACCGGACCCAATCCAGTCCAACCTGATCCAATCCAGTCCAACCTGACCCAAGCCAGTCCAACCTGACCCAATCCAGTCCAACCGGACCCAATCCAGTCCAACCTGATCCAATCCAGTCCAACCTGACCCAAGCCAGTCCAACCTGACCCAATCCAGTCCAACCGGACCCAATCCAGTCCAACCTGATCCAATCCAGTCCAACCTGACCCAAGCCAGTCCAACCTGACCCAATCCAGTCCAACCGGACCCAATCCAGTCCAACCTGATCCAATCCAGTCCAACCTGACCCAAGCCAGTCCAACCTGACCCAATCCAGTCCAACCGGACCCAATCCAGTCCAACCTGATCCAATCCAGTCCAACCTGACCCAAGCCAGTCCAACCTGACCCAATCCAGTCCAACCGGACCCAATCCAGTCCAACCTGATCCAATCCAGTCCAACCTGACCCAAGCCAGTCCAACCTGACCCAATCCAGTCCAACCTGACCCAATCCAGTCCAACCTGACCCAATCCAGTCCAATACAAAGTATTCTAAAATAAACCATTGAAAGAAAATGAATGCCAGTTAAGGACACTTGCTTAAGTATTTTCAAAAATCTAGTTATACTGATATCCTTCTACATCTCTAAGAGTCTTTTTGGCAATCATTTGATCCTCTGTTAAAACCAAGTGTAGGTGGGGAAGCACAGGTAATTTAACTGAGTGGCAATGCTGCCCAGCACTGAGACAGGAAGTGGAGGTGAAGATGATTTCTCTCTGAAGCAGCTGGGGAAACTGTCTTGAGGTGAAAGAAATCCCTTTATAGGGAGTATGACTGGTAAGTGTGCATGACGATTTGGCTGTAGTTCCTGGAGACATCAAAGTGCTATAACCTTATGGCATATATTTTTTAAATTCTTTCTCAAATAACAGTATTCTATTCACTAAATCAATTAATGCAACTAATGTGTTTCTATGGAGCATCTTCTAGGAGTGAAAGTCTGTGGGAGATGATAATTCCCTGTTTTCAAGGAGCCTGGTGGACTGGGGGAAGCCACATAAATGCATAAGTGAAACATCATGGGATGAGTGTTAAGGATCTGTGCTAGAGAGAGATAGAGAAACATCTGGTTAGAAAGCAAAACCCCATGGTGCATGGGCTGGAAAACGTCGGATGGGTGAGAGTAATTCTCACACTAAATATTCATATGTTCAATTGAATTTTCCATTCAGAATGATCCTGATTTGCTCTATACCTTGTATGCTTTAATCGGATAATTTCCCAAATCTCTTTCACTGTGTTCTCTGTAGACTTGTCTTGAAAGGGATGACCAGTTAGTCACCTGAATTACAGACTTTGCCTACACTGTGAGTTTGGTTCTCTAGAACCTCGAGAGGGTGCCCCCTTAGGTTTATTTGTTGGCGGGGATCCCAGCCCCAAACACCAACCCAGCCCTAGAAGAATACTGCTGAGTATCACTTGCCAACCTGTCCTTCTGCTGGTTTCTTGCACTTACCCTCTCTTTTCTGTTCCATTCTATTCCAGGGATTTGACCGAGGAACTGCCCCCAGACACCGCTGAGATCACGACACAGGCCAGTACACACTGCAGGAAACTCAGACTGACAGGCACTCCTGCCTTCTACTATTGCCCAAGTGGCTTGGTGTAGCTAGACGCCAGCTCAGAGCCACGGGCTGCCCTGAGGGTTCTTGACCCTCTCTGCAGAGATGGGAATGCCTGAGGGGCTGAAAGCTTTGGCAGGGTTGAGATAAACACTCAGGTTAAGGCATTTTTCATCTGTTTAACCAGATCTCATTATGTTGTCAAACAAGACTGCGGTGCTCACAAGAAACAGCTATGGTATTCTTATTGAGAGTTGGGACTAGACGTAAGAATTTATTTTTTCCATTGAGGTTAATTTCCCTAATGCTGGGATGCCAGGCATAGTTTTCATTGGGATGAAATGAGTTGGGTGGGGGGGTGGAGAGAGTAAGCTGTTGGAGCCTTTTTTTTTTTTTTTTTTTTTTTTTTTTTTATAGAAGAACTTGCAGTATTGGAGAATTCTTATACCTGCTTAAGATGGTATTGAGGTTGCTGTACGCAGGCCTCTCACTGTTGTGGGCCTCTCCCGTTGCGGAGCACAGGCTCCGGACGCGCAGGCTCAGCGGCTATGGCTCACGGGCCCAGCCGCTCCACAGCACGTGGGATCCTCCTGGACCGGGACATGAACCTGCGTCCCCTGCATTGGCAGGTGGACTCTCAACCACTGTGCCACCAGGGAAGCCCTGTTGGAGCCTTTGAAGGAAAGCTTAATGGCACTTCATAGAGCCCCCTACCTGGTGTTGGGGAGAAAAGAAGAGTTTAGTGATAATCTCGCCCGTATCCTTGGCAGAGGACCCCCTTCTCTAAACCACCTACAAAACCTTCCCCTAATCATACATCCCCTTGCTGTGTTATTTTCTCACACGCCCCTTCTGCTGGTTCCAGGAAAATGCCATTTTGTTTATTTTTTAAGTAACTTCTCTTATCTTTTCCAGGTTGAGTTAACTTTAACAGTTGCTTAGTCCTGATAACTCTAAAAGCTAGGTAAATTACCGTGCTACCTAGCCGTTTGTCCACATGGTTACAGGAGTAGTGGTGACCCATGTGAAAATGCTTATCAATAGTCCTATAAAATGGACTTATTGAAAATCCGGAGCAAATGTCTGGTAAGTGAATCCTTTCATTAACCACTGACTTTTAACATGATGCTATTTTATATTTGTATCGTGAATTTCACGCACTTAGCTGACTTTTGTTTTAATCCCAAAACTCTATGATATAGCTTAAAATTTTAAAGCCAATTCTTTCTTCCTTTATAAGTGAAAGAAGCCAGTCTGAGAAGGCTACATACCATATGATTCCAACCGTATGACATCTGGAAAAGGCAAAACTTGGATATCAGTGGTTGCCAGGCAGCAGGACAGGGTGGGGTTGATGTAAATAGAGCACAGAGCAGTTTCAGGGCAGAGTAGCTTCAGTGCTCTGTATGGTGCTGTAATGCACCATATTTTCCTTCCAAAAATATTTGAGTTACTAGTTTGTGAGAGCGGTCTTCTGATGTTCCTCTCCCACATTTGCATGATATTTTAAAACTTCTTGGCCCTCCTGGAACCTCCTGGAACCTCCTGGAACCACTAGTGCTCCCACTTCACCTCCTGCCCTATGGAGGTGGTTCTGCTTCACTGGGGAAATAGAAACCATCCAATGGGAATCCCTTTAACTTCCTGCCACCAGATCTACACCTTATATCTGCCTCCATAGTCCCGTTCTTCCTTCCTATGACAGTGGAGAAAGGTCTCTTAGGTAGCTATTTTATAGCGCAGGAAAGCTGCAGAGTGACTAGAAGAACTGTTTAATATCTTATACCTTGTAAAAGCAACAACAGAATTTGAACTCAGGTCTCCAGTCTTTTTGGTCCTAATGCCCTTTGGTTTTTTCTTTTTCCTTTTTTTAAGAGACTCTTCTTTTAGAGCAGTTTTAGGTTTACAGTAAAATTGAGAGGAAGCTATAGAGATTTCCCATGTAATACACCCCTTGCTCCCACAAATGTATAGCCTTTCCTATATCAACATCACTCACCAGAATGGTACCTCTTTTTTAAACCAAGGATGAACCTACATTGACACATCATAATTACTCAAAGTCTATAGTTTACCTAAGGGTTCATTCTGGGTGTTATACGTTCAGTGGGTTTAGGCAAATGTATAATGACATGTATGCATCATTACAGCATCTCACTGTTGTTTTAATTTGCATTTCCCTGATGACATATGATGTGGATGGAGAGGAGATGCTGAGGAAGCACTCGGAATGGGCTTAGGGACAGGTTGAATGTGGAGAGTGAAAGAGCAGATGTCAAGGAGAAATCTTGGCTCCTGGCTTTGTTCCCATGCCTGGAGCATGGCGCATGGAGAGAGCGTCACAAGTATGGCGTCCGCCCAGGAGAGCCTGTCATGGGAGAAGTCACGTGGGAGCGGGCACGTGGGTCTGCAGTGCACAGGAAAGGTCCAGGCTGGAGAAGCAAATCTGCAAGTCCTCAAAGATAAAGTGGAAATTGCGATCATGGGCATGAAGGAGACAGTCCTTCACAAAGGAGAAAATGAGCGAGAGTCCTACTCACAAAACTGTCCAGAGCAGGTCTTTAGGAGCTGGGTAGGGAGGATAAACGTTCAAAGGCTACTGAAAGGAGCAGCAGGGAAGTCAGAAAAAGCTGAAGAGGGCAGAGTCTCAGCATCAAAAGGAAGAGAGGGCATCAAGGAATGCAGGGCCGGGGCTTCCCTGGTGGCGCAGTGGTTGAGAATCTGCCTGCCAATGCAGGGGACACCGGTTCGAGCCCTGGTCTGGGAGGATCCCACATGCCACGGAGCAACTGGGCCCCTGAGCCACAACTACTGAGCCTGCGCGTCTGGAGCCTGTGCTCTGCGACAAGAGAGGCCATGATAGTGAGAGGCCCACGGACCACGATGAAGAGTGGCCCCCGCTTGCCGCAACTAGAGAAAGCCCTCGCACAGAAACGAAGACCCAACACAGCCAAAAATAAATAAATTAAGTAATTAAAAAAATATATTATAAAAAAGAAAAGAAAAGAAATGCAGGGCCATAGCCAGTGTCCAGAGCTGTGGGGAGGTCAGCTAAGATGAGGGCTGAGAAGCATCTTTTGGATTTAACAGCATTTGGGCTTTTGGTGACCTCAGCAAGAACTATTTCAGAGAAGTGATGCGTTACTGTGGTTTGAGGAGAGGTTAGGTGAAAAGAGAATGGAACAAGTGCTGTGAAAAACTTCGAGGAATTTTGCTGAGAAGGGGAGCAGAGAGTTAGGGCTAACACGGGTCCCAAACT